ATCCTATTATTTTGTTCAAGAGGGCCTTAATACACAACTTAAATGGTGCTTTTCCTTTGTTGAACTCATGGCGCCATATAAAAAGCGTTATTATGTCATTCGAAAATGCTTCAAAGAATTAAAGATTTTTTGCCATTGCGGTGGTCTTCATTTCTACCTTTAGTTATATCGACGACATTAAATTAATTCATTTTATTCGTATTATGCCAATATTGACGTCCTATACACTAGGGGTGATCTAAAAGCTTGCAAACTATCCCTATAATAAAAAAAACACCATCCAGATCAAAATGAAATTTAGCACACATAGTGTCAAACACATTTTCTATAAATAGCATATGTAATGATATGTTTTGCCCCATGTTACTGACGCCACAATGTGAAAATGACGTCAATATGTAGATCATTTGTGACAAAAAAAAATGGTTGACTCAGTTGTATTCGAGCAACGAACGGCTGTAAAGTTAAACGTTTATCTGGGAAATTCCTTTGCAGAAGCATATAATAATTTAATATGTTGACGGTGCGACCGTTAGAGCGAGCGCAAACTCTTCTATTGTTTTGATTTAGATCGGGCTCGTCAAACCGCACGTGACATTCGGTGCGTCTAGACTCTGACGTCACATGACGTATATAAGTCGCAATATACCGAGAAAAAGCCTGAACAGTGCTGAAAGTTAATGAAGAACGTTTTGTTTTCTATTTATCTTCAATATATGTCCATTATATCAAGGCATGTAAACTTTTTGTTGAACATTTGCCGTGATTCTCGCGAGAACGTAGCTAAAATGATGCATTGTGGGTCCAAATTACTGCATCAAAAAATTCTATCGAATGAATGTGCAGAAGTCCGAATTTTCTCTTCGCACAGGCGTTGCTTTAAGAGCTCGCTATGCGGGCGGCGCTTCGCGCCGCCTCGCTGCGCTCGCTTTAAACATTTTATGAAGACAAAAGACTTGCCATGAGTTTTGTCATTAATTGATGTGATTGTTTTAATGATGGAAGGGAAATATTTAAAACTGATGTTGGTTCTGTTGCTCAGTGAAAGCACGCTGGAAAAGAAATGGGACCTTTGTTAAGGTATGTCAATCGTCAGCTTATTAGAAAAATTTACGCAGAACCTCTTACTTCAAAACTATTTATCATATTTCAATTTTTATAACATATTAAAATTCAACAATGTAAATTATTCAATATTCAATGGAAAAAACTCCTCGAAAATCCACGAAGAAGCAAGATTTATGAGGGACTTTTTCTTTTGGTGGAAGGATACTTAGTAGAAAAATTCTTCAAATCTGCACATTTATTAAATCTTTATAGAATATGTAATAAAGGTCTCAATTAATATTTTTAGAATAAATTTAATATCTTCCATCAACAAACTTTGCCGAGAAAAGAAGTCAAGATAAATTGTACACAGTTTTTTGCCTGAAATTCACATGTTTGACCAATATTTCAAAATGAACATCACTGACCCCAACTTTTTCTTTCGTTATTTTAAACTGCTCACTCATTTTGACCGATTAGCACTTAATACGTAAAAAGTTTGATATAAAAAAATATTTTATTGCCTTTTTAGATTCTTAATACCCCAAATATGTTACTTTTTAGTGCAAGAAGGTCACACAATAATTTACACGCATTAATTTGCAAGATTTGTTCAATGATAAATATTAATCAAACTATTTTACGTAAAATATGATAAGATTTTCTGCAATCATAACATCTGATAAAATATGATAATAGTTAATGTAATTAACCAAAGAGTTAAAATTTAAGTGCAAAAAGGTCAACTTCATTGTACCGTTACGGTAGCTCAGTAAGATGCACACTGCCCCCCTTTCATTTTGTCTGCGATTTTGAGTCATACTATATGATACTTATCAAAAATATACTTCTGAAAAAATCCTTGATTTAACAAATTTCACGAGTGACATACCTTAAGCAATGTGATATGAAAGATCGCCAACTTACAGTTAGATTAAAATAGCTGAATATCTTAATGATAAAATTAGTAAATCCCTAAAATATCGTTTACTTTAGACTTTTAACATATCATATATGATAAAAATAAGACACAAATACTTTTTTACATTGCATAAAAAACGCTCCAAAGACAGAGGACTTGTGTTTTGATGGTCACTAATGCTCAATCTGGAAAAGGATATCATTATCTACTCATACTATAGCCGAAATGTGGCGATTTCTGACAAATTGACTGTTTTTGGTATGAAAAATAACTTGCATGGTAAGAAATATGAGTCGGATTAACTTTTATGCTTCTGTAACAGAACGTGTCGCATGTCACGTGACCGCCTCTATCACGTGATCTGCGCATGAACAGAACGGTTGCAGATGCGCGTTGAAATCGGAGAGCACTAATATGAAAAAAAATCACCACTGAAACCCTGTATAACTTTTTTTCAAAGTTATTCAATTAATGCGCGAACTTTTTGATCACCCCTCTTATATACTTACACTGGTAAGTACTCTATATATAACCCCATCAAGTTCCCTAGATAATCATATACAAGTGAAGATAAAAAAAGAATATATTCATTAAGTGGCAACATAATTTACATGTGCTAGTCAAATTTCTCAAATATTTTTTTCTTAAACGTTAATTCTGTGCATCTCAATATTTAATTTCTGCAATAATTTTGTTAAGACTTTTATCGTGGATCACAGAAATGTTGTCCAAACAATGTGTACAATAGACAAAAGTGTCAAATCCTAACTCAATATCAATCATTTTGTAGTTGCAATAGTAATTTTCTTTACCTTTCTTTATATCCAACGCGAATAGCATGCAGTGATGACATCATTTGTCATAATCATGGAAAATGCTACAGAAGAAGATCACTGGTGAAATTGAAACGTGTACTTATCCCTAAATTAAAAATACATCGAATACACGAATTTTTTGGACAACCCTCGTAGGTACTTACATGTACCACAGTAAGTTGGTCTTAGAATTAAAGTTGTTGGTAAATCGAAATGTTGGGACTCGTTTCAAATGCTAAAAAAAGGGAAGTAAAATTTCCTAGGTCTTTCAATCAGGAGAAAATAAATCTACGTTAGAGTTTGCTGAAGCCATGGCTATAAAAGATTCAAGAGTATAACATAGGTCCTTCTTTTATTGAAATTCCTCATTTATAGGCAAAATTAACATTAAAGCGTCTTTTACATTGAATACATGTGTGTACGACAGCCAGAAAGACCCAGTTTTGGAAAATTAAAAAAAAAATTAATTTTATAATTACAAGATTATTATATATTAGTAATAACCAGGAGATAGTTATTTCTTTCAAACTGGGTTATAGCAAAATACTAGTAGATTCTCGTTATAACAAAGAAAAACACGCAATAGATTTCTCTAGATCTGTTAAATGATTCTTAATTTTTATGGATGTTAACTTTCCGAATTGCTTCATTGGAGAAAAATTTGTATTGTTTATAAAATTTTCATAAACCAGTAACTGGTATTCCTCTTCACCTTTTACATTAGTTTGAAATATACATGTACAACTTAAAATTAATTGTCCGGAAACTCTTTAGGTGGCCGACTGCTCTTTCCGTTTTAGTACTTTACAGAATCATACTAGTAATCTTTCTTAAGTCTACGAAGGTGGATCCAACAGTTCGTGGAATTTCTTCATATTTTATTTATTTATAAGTGAAACTGGTTGAAAATTACACATGAGAATATAGACACTTGTTGAATATTTTAAATTAGAAATATTTTAAATATTTGTGATAGTAACTCTATTGCAATTGCCATAGAAACGGATGTTTGGAAATGCGGGGGAGACATCAATATCATGAATATCATTTTAATTCTTTATACTTGAAATGTGGATATTTAGTTTATTAATTGATAATTTATTGTTCATCTCTAGGTTGTTAGACAACGTCAAATTTCTGTCAAGTCATACGTTTTGTGAAAATCCCGGGATCCCTGTATCTTAAACGCGTAGATTATTGACATAGGCTGGGGGGAAAATGCATTTGATCACTGGTTTTCCAGTTGCGTAAGAAATGCAAGGAATATAGAACGTCCATAGACGTTGCATAAAGGTGTGGCTGCCTTTTGAGGGTTCTGTTTTAAGTGTTTATCCCCCCTTGACAATTTAAACGCGTTAATGGACGTTGTCGGCTGACGTGCTGTTCCAAACATTGCTACTGAAATTGGAACATCATATGGAAAGATGGAGAGTATTTTGATATATGAGTGAAAAATGAACATCAGTTGATGCGAGAGGATACCCAGGCTTTTCGTGAGAAAAAAAATTTAGAAAAGGGCAGCATTTTGTAGAATTAAGCATTCGATTTGGACATTAGGGTGAGATGCTTCTATAACGTGACGTGACATGTCTTATTTGACATAACGTCGAAGTCTCCTACGGGTTTCACAACGATTCATTTTCAGAAAGCTCGTATGACCTTATTGGTAATTGGAACGTGGTGAAATTTTTCAATATTGTTACATTATGACTCTTTATCATAAATATGCCTATTGTTTGCTTTCATCAAATCACGATAAAATTTTAGAAAGAAATTCCACGAACTTTTGGATCAACACTCGTATATATAAAATTCTTTAATCTAAATTTAAATTATAAACATTTATTTTCATTTTCTGTGTGTTGATATGACAAAGCAATTGTTGCACAATATGGATAAGAGTTGCATTCTCTTACCAACTGTAAACTTCTGAATCAAAGAAACTCTTTCGCGATTTTTGTTTTTATTTCCCGGGAATGCACCTTTTTCGAATTTGCATTCAGTCTTTGTCAGCAAGATGAACTTTTTTTTTATTCTTTCGACCTCTGTCAAAATGATTGAGTATTTCAGTTAACCTTTCTCTAGATTCTACAGTAAGTTTTTTTTTTTTTTTTTTTTTTATAAAAACTTCCCATTCTACGCCTAATGATATTTGGCAAAATATAAGGAAATAAGGATGGTAGACCAATACAAAAACATCACAACATTAGTTGTGATGAGAGTTTGTGATCTTTAGCCATCATATACTATAAAAGACTCATGTGTTTTGGTTGGAAACATTCTTGTTACTACACAGAATCGGATCGCAGGTAAGTGCTATTTGAACTTTTAAGATTGGATGAAAACATTTAAGAAACGTCTACAAAAAAATTTTTTTTCAGTAACTATTCCGAATGATAACTAATAAATTAAAAAAAAATATTCATGTGGTTTGCACATAATGACTTTAAGTCCAAACTTTATCTTTGTAGAATTATCATTGAATCTAAATTTTAGGAATGCTCATTGAATCTAATTTTTAGGAATGCATTTATACTTCGAGAAATTTAATAAAATGTATTGGAAATCTGACAAATAAAAACGAAATTTTTATCGTAACTTAAAAGATTATCACGTTCAAAAATTGAATAAAGATTAGTTACATGTATTTAGGGTCATTTAAGGTCATTCTTTGTCAGGTCCAATCAAAAAGACTATTTCTACCTTCGTAGCTTTAAATAGCTACCTAAGTATTGAAACCTACTTAAAGTAGCTACTTCTAGCTATTTCTACCTAATTTGAAATGTCTTTGAAAACAAGATTAAATAATAATTACATCACACCTTTAAAACAGGTCAAATTTGTTGTTTTTAATCTCGTGCACTTGCACGGAAAAAAATGCAGCTTGTTAATTTGAAAACTTTTTGAGGGCGGAGATTAAAGAGGAAAGGCTTCAAAATCATCCTTAAACATTTTTGTCTAAGATTGCTTGGAGATAAGCATAAAAAAGGTTTGTAATTTTGGACTTCATTTTCAATCTTAGCTGCCAGAAAATGAAACTGGGTGGTGCTTTTATGCAAAATTGATAAGTTGCAGAGTAATCACGTTTTCCATTTTTTTTTTTTTGATATCATTAATCAATGTGACCATATTAAGAAATTTGATGCCTATCATATTGAGCTGTTCTAGCATTCGGCCAGAAAATGCAAATAATGCAAAAAGTAGGTAAAATAGCTACCTGGAGTATGTTTAATTAAATACCTAGTAGGTAGCTATAAGTAGCTATGTAGGTAGAAATAGTCTTTGGATTAGACCTGTTTATTTCATAATTACGATAGAGCTTCTAAAGGATAAATGAGACAAACAAACGACGAGATAGGGTAAGACCCCTTTTTGGCCCCTGGTTTAGGGTGTCCATTAGAATAATGCAACAGTTTATAAATTGAAAACCACTTATCACCCCTGCCACAAAATGGTGGAATACACAAAGGTCACAGGAAGGTAAGAAAATATGTCAATTTCCGAATTATTTCATCTTTTGCAAATTTTGATCAATTTTACGGCACATTTTCTTTCAGAAAACATAAGGTACAAGCTTGCTTATCTACAAAATTTATATATTTCATACATTAATATCAGATGTACATTGTGTGTAAAAATCTCAGCTTGTGCTCTATGTACTCGAAGTAAAAAAAAGTCTCAAATTTGACAAATTCCAGCAGAATTGAGAAAACGTCCTATTTGTGCACCCTCTTGTGGCCTCATTTAAATCATTGAAGCTCTGAATCAAATTAGTGCTGATTTAAAAACGAGCATCTATTTAAGCTCTTAACTACAATCTATCACAGTTTTAAATGTCTTCTAATTTTTACATCAAATAAGGAGTCAGATGCAGAGGTTACCATATTTTGTCCTTTGTTCCTCAAAAATTCAAATATCTTTGCTAAATAGGATGCCTTTCTTATTTTAAAACTGATATTTGTTTGGTCAAACAGCTTAATGTTTGACCATGACGATTCGGCGAAAACGCGAAATGCAAAAATACAACTTTAGAAGTTCAATAATTTATTGAAAAGATTTAAATATGTATGAATTTTTTCTGCTGCAAAGTTTCGTGGGACATTTTCAATAGACTAGTGTAATTTTTCATTTAGCACAAATTTAATTTCTTTATTACATTTACTTTGAAATAAATATTGAAAAAAATACTAATGTAACTAATCTTATTGGCAGATAAGAATTTTTTTAGGTCCTCAGTACCCCTTGCTTGTCGTAAAAGGCGACTAAATGGGGCGGTCCTTCGGATGAGACCGTGTAAGCCGAGGCCCCGTGTCACAGCAGTTGTGGCACGATAAAGATCCCTCCCTGCTCAAAGGCCGTAAGTGCCGAGCATAGGCCTAAATTTGCAGCCCTTCACCGGCAATGGTGACGTCTCCATATCAGTGAAATATTCTGGAGAGGGACGTTAAACAGTATACAATCAATCAATCAATTTATTGTTTGTATCTTAAGTTGGATTCTTTTAGATAAAACATTTTAAAAATGTAACAGATGTTCTAGATTTTTCTCAATAGAAACGTACATAATGAAAGTAAAATACATGATATAAAAGACAGTCTTATTCAAAAAAAAAATACGGTAATTATAACAATGATGATATATTTATAGTCAAAATGAACGCCTTGATTGTGTTAGCCTCTGTTCTGGTCTCTTGTAATGCGGATGGTAGTTACGATTCAAAAGGAGCTCATCATTCCGACGATGGGGGACATGGTGGGGTATATGAAGGATTAAGAGGAGCAGTACAAGGAGGAGGAGCACGAGGAGGACTAGGGGGAGTAGGAGGTGGACAGGTACTGGAAGGAGGACTAGGAGAATATGGTGTTTTCGGAGTAGGACCATTAGGAAGTGCAGGAGGAGGATTTGGAGGAGTAGGAGGGATATTCGGCACATTACCTCTAGGACCATTAGGTTTGAGGGTCACTGGGTGGAATTACCTACAGAAATGATATTTTGTCAACATTATTAAGTATTCACGATAAATGCATTTTTTTTCAATTTTATCCATCGTTCCGATTCGACAATTTCGTTTGCTACTAATTTTATGTAACATAATAAGATATAAATGAAGTTTACGTTATCACTTTATCTACTTCTAAGTTCAAAGGTCTTATCCTCTACATAAAAAGTTCACATGTAAAATCTTTTACTACTGTGCAATATTAGTGAAATAAAAATAAGCAGAAAGACATAGCGTTTTATAAGACATAATAAAATATCAATCATTATTCTGCCCCCGTAATCGACGATCCTGGGTATATAATTTTTGCACTCTTTGTCATTCTGTCTCTCTGTTTGTCCACAAAAACTTTGACGTAGCCCATAAGTTTTGAGTGGGTGGGACTATGACTTTCACAGTTGTATTTATTGTGACAAGACCTTACATAGCATACCACCACTTTGGTCTCTTGACATCGGAGTTTGACTCACTTTTACCAAAATTTCCCCAAATTAAACCTTGGCCATAATTTTTTGAAAAGTTGGTGCAAGAACTTTCATTCTACACATGTTTATTCCTTCTGACAAGGCCTCAAATGAATAAAACATCTTTACCCCTTGACTTTGACCTTAAAGATTGATCCATTTAAAAAAACCTATAAACTCGGCCATAACATTTAAACATTTAGTACTAGAGAGTTTTATATTTTACAGGTGTATTCCTTTTGACAGCTTGGAGTTGGACTTGCATTTAAGAAACTTTAACGCTTGCTTTAAGCTGTCATTTGGGAGCATAAGTGTTTCGCAAACACATCTTGTTTTTTTTTGTCTGTTTTGACTACCTTGACTGATAATTTCAGTTTTACAAAATATTTAGAACAATCTTTATGTATGTATACAACCTGTTCATCATATTGAAATTAAAATATTAATACGGGCTATTTAATTTGATGTGTACCATGTCTGAAAACATATCCCTTTTGGTGTCTTTAATTTCCTTTAGTAATAATTATGGTTTTTTGTAGCTCAAAAATACGGGACTTGTCCTAGTATTTACGAAACAGATGATCAACAACTTGGTCCTTATTGCGCTCACGACAAATATTGTCACGGATCACAGAAATGCTGTTATAATCAACAAAAGGGCTCTAGGGTATGTCAAATCCCTATTCAATATCAAAAACCGGGTAAATGCAATGGTGTACTGATAATGCCTCCTTCCTACCAAGTACGAAAAGCATGCAATGATGACACCCTTTGTCCTGGAAGCGGGAAATGCTGTAAACGATTTTCATCTGGTCAACTCGACACTTGTACTTCCTGCAAATCTTTTCCTCCCGTCTTCTTTGGTGCAGGTTCAGGTTAAAAGTACTTTGAAAATGCTACACAGATCGATCTATGCTTGAAGTCTTCATCTAAAATTAAATAAAATAAAAGCTTACTACAATTACAACATACTACGGTATCTTATCTTTTTTTTCAATTATTTGGGGAAATTTATAAATAGAATATTATTACAATTTCTCATTATTGATTTTTAACAATCAAAACGATATAATTATTTTGTGTTTTTTCATTGAAAAGAGAAACAAATAAAGCATTAAACTTACCTATACTCTCTTTGTGAAACACTGATGCTCCTTCATGGCAGCTTATGGCGAGGGTTGAGGATAGTTAAATGCTATAACTAGTCAACCAAGCTAGTTTAAAGTCAAAACGCAGGACAGTTAAGGTGACAAATGGAAATATCGGCAATTTTTAAAAAAAATAAAATGCATACTTTATAAGGGTGGGTGATTCTCTTTAGGACTTTACTGAAAATGTGATGTGGTTCAAATCTACATGTCGAGGATATTTAAGAGGCAGTCCACCGAAAAACCACGCAGTATTGTATTAATAGGCGGCATATTGAATGTGAGGAACATTTGATATTTTATTAAAAACAATAATATTTATACCCCCCGCTTGAAAAGTGGGAGGGTATATTGTAGTTGGTATGTCCGTCCGTCCGTGTAGCTGTCCGTCCGTTCGTCTGTCTGTTACGCTTTGGGGTACCCATCTCTTATTCGCAACTCCTCTTATACCACTGAGTGAAAATTAATGAAACTTTCACATAATCTTTATTACATATTGCCATTGTGCACATCCTATTGTACTTTTTGATCCGACACATATTTTGGGCTTCCAAAATTTTGGGCTGTCTGCTCTCAGCTGTTGCATAGGCCTAATGCATGCATGTACAATTTAATACTTGTTTTTAAATACCGAGTATCAAGAAATCAAACAGATGTTTACATGTAATCTTATACATTTAAATCTATGGTTACTCTCATTTAAAAACAGTAAACTGACTGAAAAGAAACAGAAGACAAGCATATTTTTCTGATAAATTAAAATGAAAAGCCAAATTTAGGAAATATTTCTAAATTTAAGTTAAAACCGATCCTGATTGAAAATAATGCAAAATTATTAATTTTATCAAACTAAAGGCACCTGCCACCTATATTACATGTAAAAAAAATAAATCAAGTAATTTTTTTAAATCATATTACAACAAAAGAGCCAAATTTAACATTTAGTATTTTCTTCTTTATATAATTCCAGTCGGGATCGGTTTTGTTTGGAAAAATAAAAAAAAAAAAGATAGATAAATTTGAGTCCTTTTCTTTATTTCAATATACCTGTTCCCACTTATTTTATTGAGTGACTCAAAAGTTTGTACTTTGTATTCATAGTAACATATGAAAAAAATTCTGTGCTTGTAATGTATTGGGTTTTATAACGTAATGAAAATTGGATACTGAATTTAAAAACTTACTTGCTCAACTCAAATTTGGACCATATAATTTTTTCTAAAGAAATATAAATTGGAGTCTTTTTCATTAATAAAATAAAAGATAAGAGCCTATGCTATAAATGATATTCATCGACACATCCAGCTTTTGGGTATTTGTGACATATAAAACAAAATAAAAACGTAGTAATTTTTTTTACACTCATGTTGAACTTTTTGCACTTAAAATTAAGCATTGACCAAAAATAGGACTAGAGGAGCACTAAAAAAGATTTTGATGTTGTCATGTGTAAACACTTGCTTTAATAAGTCTACATGCAAAAAATAATTAAAATCCATTACATGCGATGTGCCAAGTTTAGCAAATATATTTGGAGTGTTGAGGTCATCTATAAATTTCAATAATGCAAGGGCATATTACTAAGTTAAAAATCTTTCTTTAATTTAGAATTCTTTTCAACGGTATATGTACTTTGTGAAAAGTGCTGGGTACCTATATTTTACTATTAAATTGCTAAAATTACATTTGTTAGACGGCAGGTTGGATATTTTGCTGGTCAACTACATTAAATATTGGTATAATTAATCTATAAAATTACGCAGCACTTTTCAAATAAATATCTTTATGTCTTCTAATGCTTATAGGCAAGATCACCGCAGCTTGTTTTTGCTAATTTTGTAAAAGTCAAATAAAACACTTTCATGTTGATGAATAATGTCATTTATTAAAATGACGATATAAATGTGAACAATTTAACAAACAAGAAGGGGGATCAGATTCACAAGCTTTGCTTATCAGTTACGTAAAATATGATAATGTCTGATCCCCCAAAAATGACTAGAAAAAAGTATCTGTAAGACAAGACAATCAAAACATCATATTAAAAAGTTAGCAAATAGATGGCACATCAAAACAAAATAGGCAAACATCACAAGAAAAAGTTGGCAAAAAGATGGTACATCAAAGACACAATCAAAACTTCAGAAGAAAAAGCTTGCAAAAAGATCGTAATCAAAACCAAATACATAGAAGCAGTAAAACAATTGAGTAAAAACTATAATATAATATAAATTTTACAAGACATTAATGATCATATTAAGGGATAGGAATGCTGGGGTGGAGGTGGGTCTTCAAAATAGACATGCTTCATGTTAGCGTTGGTGAGCGCGCGAGTGTGAATGACTCGCTGAGCTAACCACGTGACCTTACACATTCTATTACAATTAATCCCTCAGGCAAGGCGTGGATCTGAGAATTTTCACAATTTACCAACGTAAATGTTTCCGGAAACCTCCAAACAAATTATCGCATTAAATATATAAATACAATTATTATTCTAATAATTGTTGTTTAATGCTTCTTAAGTTTATGTGTAAAAACTTGGCAGGATTCATTGAGGGTATGCCCTTGTAATAAATCGATTTATTAGGACCCTTCTATTACTTTTTCTATGAATTTGCATACAAATACACGAGGTGGACCCCTCGTCCCGCATCGCTTGACTGGAGAATATACGGATAGTATTTAAATAAAATCGTAATTTGCCATCGCGTCCAAGATAACGGCCTTTAATTTTACTGCAAATAAAATTTAATTTGATAACAAGACATTCTTCATTGTACAAAATGTGACTTCGTCAGCCTCTCACTGTGTACAAACTGCGTCAACTTCCACGAGATGACGTCACATTGACGAGTGCATTGTGATCAATGAATCGTTTATATTGTGCTGAGTGGGCTTTAACAAACGACAAAACTACATGAAAGAGTAAGCTTTTTTATACATATATTTTGAAATATGAAAAGTTGAATCTCGACGTTTAAACGTTCCACTATTCATGGCATGCATGAAAGAAAAGGAATATTTCTAAGCGGAATAAGGACTTTACTATTTCATCGGGGGAGGTGGGGGGGGGGGAGACTGATCACTTATTCCAATATCTTGGCCTGTTATCAGTTTCCTTGATACATGGGAAGGGGAAGAAGTCAAAATGTCTATATTGTTTTGTACTTTTGTTAATTTGTTAATCAGAGTTTCAATTTCAAGTTCATGTAAATAGATGTTGAGTTTACGTACCATGTCGACAAGAATGACAAAGTGAATGAACATCTGTCAAACACAAAAATAACAACAAAAGATGGACTGAAAACATCACAGCCTCGAGTGATAAACAATCGTCATACATGTACATTTACATTGAACACTTGCCACATTATGCATATCTGTTTATCTGGATTTTTTTTTATTTTAAGAATCATTTAAACAGAATTTTCATACGAAATATAATGACCTTACTTAAATTTCGAAAAGACGTTGATTTTATATATAATAAAAAAGTATGACAGAATATGTAATATCAGGTATAAAATTGGAAAAATAGTTTGATTGAAGAGTATATTGTCAACTTAAATTGACTTAGCTAAGACCTCGCTAAGTTCGTTTTATGTTACGGTTTATATGTATAAGACATACATAAGAAATACGTGGACTGATCCTAGGATTGTGCCAAAAAGATACTTATGGCCCCAGTTAAGTCAAAAACATGTATTATTTACGACCCCCATGTTTTCCAACAATCTATTTGAATTCCGATGGGTACTAATTGCGTCCCGTTTTTAGCAGAATTTGTGCAAAATCTTATGCGTGAAAAGAGGAAAACACTCGCAGTGACCTTCAACTGGACGTTTATATATATCGACGACGTACTGTAAATTAATAATCATGGTAATTTCCATTCTTATGTCGATACAATATATCCTGGTGAGCTTGAAATAAAAAATATCACAGAGTCTGACACATCTAAAAAACGTTAATGGTTATCTAACAAACAAAGTTCATGATAAACGTGATGACTTAATTTTTCAATCGTCAACTTCCCTTATTTTTGCAGCAATATACATTAATCACCTCCACACAGATCCGGAGTTTATATCTCTCAGTCGATTCGATACGCAAGAGCATGCTCTGCATATGTATAATTTTTAAAACGAGGTAAATTATTCACAAACAAGTTGATGAAACAAGAATATCAGCTTTCTCGTTTAAAAGCATCATTTCGTAAGTTCTATGGTAGATACAACGGCCTTTTCAGCAAATACAATTTATCATTGAGTCAAATGCTGACTAACGCATATTCATACTGATTGTTATTCAATTATTTTCACATAGAATGAACGACGGATTTTCCGTTATGTCACGATCATAACATGTAACACAAGGTGGATGTGACCGGTCGGCAGGGGATGTTCATTCTTCAATGACACCTGATCCCACCTCTGATGTTTCGGAGGTCCGTGTTCGCCCTGCTCCTGTTTTGGATCGTTATCTCCATATATTTCACGTAGCTACTAGTATTTCATTTTTCATTGTCAAATGGTTTTAAAAAAAACAGTGTGACTTCTTATCAACCATTATACTGCCACAAAGATATTTATGATAATAATATTCTACGAGCTTACCCACTATTAAAAAAAACTTAGTTTAAACGTGTAAAGAAAGTTTTATTATAATAATATATTTTATTTTAAGGTTTTGTTTGTAATGATACATGTACGTACTCGTATGTTCGACATTGCACGCGCACTGACCATCAGGTTAATATGACATCGAATCCAATGAAATTGAATGGCTATAAATGTATGGACAATTTTCTGTTGTATAGA